GCAGATGCTCAGAACGAGGTAAAACTTTTTTTTTATTTCTGTGTTTGGATTGGCTGAAAGGCTGGGGACATTTCCCTCAGCTCTGTTTCCACTGATAGAGTGAATTCAAATCCCAGCGTTGGCAGCTCCTTGGAACTTGAAGGTGGGTTTTGGGAAAACTATGGAGAGTCCAGTTGCATACCATATTTATGTCATCACCCGGGAATGAACCATTTCACATTAATTTTCCAGACGTTAATATCTGAAACCTTAAAAAGAGACATTTTGGATAGGAATCACTAGTGGGTATTACACACTTTCCGGTCATCTTAATCAGAGGTTAGAGAACATGTGAGTCTCCATGACTCAGGGTTGTGGTTACAAGTGTCCATCACTGTCCTGGTTGTAACACGGTGGAAATCCAGGGCCTTGTTTGGCCCCACACTCAAGGCCCATTCCTTGATGGCTACATTTTCAGACTTCTTGTGTCTGCTTTGTGTAGTTCTTCATCACTTCATCAACTCCCTCCCTGTCAGCCGGCACTTCTGGGACTGTCTCTTTGCCTGCTTCAAGCCGACCACCAACCCACCCCATTCCTCTCAACTTGTTTCTGTTTGGCCGAGCACTGAGAAATCAGAAAATCACATCTGTTAGAAGATGCGGAAAACAACAAGATCTTTTGAACTTGACAAATTATATTAAAGTTCATCTGGAGAAATAAACAGCAAAAGGAGCTTGGAAAATTCTGAAAAAGAGGTATTATAAGGGTCGACTAGTGCTGCTAAAATGTCGTAGAACACTCCAGTAATAAAATAGTTGGGTACTGGCAGAAGAACAGACAAGGCAGATCACAGGAAAGAGTGAGCCAGACACACCCGTGAACAAATGATAAATAATATGATAAATTGACATTTAGATGAAGGAAAAAATGACATTATTCCAATCATAAATCAATCAATTGGACACTGGCTACCTGTTTAGGGGAATCAATCCCAGATGGAGCAAAGATTTAAATGTAAAAAGAAACACCCTAAAATTATCAGAAGGAAAAAACATCTGAAGTCTACCAGCATATACTTCTTGATGGAAAGTATGACACAAACCCTAGGATCACAAAGGAACTATTAAAAAAAATTGGCTAGCATTTATAAATGTAACCTGCTGGCCCCTCGGTGGCCGCCACGACTGTAGCTGACCTACTCAGGAGCTGAGCACGGAGGACGCTTGAGCGCAGGAGTTCGAGGCTAGGCCTGAAACACCATGGCAGAACTTAAAACCCCGTCTTTCAAAAAATTTTTTTTAAAAAATATACGTCCTATATAGTCCAATGCCAAATAACAATACCGTAAAAAAACATTTTCACATAGAGGCAACAAGGCGGGGATGGCGGTGCTCATGCCTGTAACTCCTAGCTCCTTGGGAGCCCGAGTGGGGCGATTGGCACAAGGTCAGAGTTTTTCAACAACAAACTGAGCAAGAGCCGAGAACCCCATATCCTACATAAATAGGAAGAAATAATTGGCATCCAACCTAATATATTTAGAAAAAATTAGACGGGCATGGTGCACATGCCTGTCGTCCCAGCTACTCGGGAGGCTCGAGGCAGAATGGGATCGCTTGAGCCCAGGAGTCTGAGTTGCTGTGGCTAGGCTGACCGCTCATGCACTTCACTCTAGCCTGGACAACAAAGTGAGACTCTGTCTCAAAATAAAAAACAAAAACCAAAACAAAAAAAACCAACATAGATGACAGATGAGTTCTTAAATGTCAATAAAGGAAAAGAAAAATAGAAAAATGGGCAAAGCACATAAACAGGAAAGGGGATATTAATGGCTAACAAGCAGGTGAGAATGCTCACCCTCAGTCAAAATGCAAAAAGTAAAAATAAAGAAATGAGAAGATTCTCTTTTCACCAATTTAATTGACAACAGCTAAACTTGGCAGCCCCTCACCGTGAGGACGCAGGTATCCTCAGAGTCACCTTGGAAAGGCCCTGCGTCTGTGGAAGTGATTGGCAGTATACACAAGGAGAATTAATTCACAAGCCACTGGCGCAAGGGTTCTACATCTAGGGATTTATCAGATACACAGGTATAAATGTCACAAGTGTTCAAAGTATGCGTACACGTGTGTTCATTGCAATTTTGTTTTCAAACCTGAGAAACTGAAAGCAGCATCAAGCCCATCAGTGGGGCACTGATTAGATAGATATGTTATGGGAAGTCCAAGCACCAGAGTAGTGTGCACTGGTTAGAAAGAGTGAGCTGGAGCTTTGTGTGTTGATACTCGCTAAGGGGAAAGGCAAGTGGCAGGACATCACTGGGACAGAGCTACTCGACTAAGGGGATGCCCTTTGGCAGCATCAGCACCCCATAGGAGCCTGTTAGAAACCTAGAGCAGGCGTCCTCAAACTACGACCTGCGGGCCACATGCGGGTGTTTTTGCCCATTTTTTTTTTTTTTTACTTCAAAATAAGATATGTGCAGTGTGCATAGGAATTTGTTCATAGTTCTTTTTTAAACTATAGTCCGGCTCTCCAACGGTCTGAGGGACAGTGAACTGGCCCCCTGTTTAAAAAGTTTGAGGACCCCTGTCCTAGAGTCTCGGACCACCTTGGAACTGCCGGGTCAGGAGCCTGGGGGCTGGAGCCTGGCGCCCTGTGCTTTGTTCTCTATGTGATTCTGAGGCACACGCACCTCTGAGAAGCACTGCTGAGGAGCATGTCACTGTATGTGTAAAAAATGGATATAAACCTATTGATTGGCCCTTCTGCCTCAAAAATGTCAGGGATTCACCAGAAATGGCTTTCCATGAGCAGAGTGGAGAGGGGTGGAAAAGTCTACTTTTCACCTTATATGTTCAGACTTGTTACCGTGAGATTACATTACTTTGATTTTCTAAACATGTAAATAAAAAAGCTACCCAAATGGAGATACAAAAAGTGGTACATAGATATAATAAAGTATCATTGAGGCACAAAAGGGAAGAACATTTTAACACATGCTACAGTGCGAATGAACCTTAAGGCCAGGGTGCTAAGTGAAATCAGCAAATCACAAAAGGCTGAATATTGTACGATTCCACTCTAATGAGGTACCCCGCAGAGTCAAGTTCATGGAGACGGAAAGTAGAATGGTGGTTGCCAGGAGTTGGAGGGGTGGGGAGTTAGTGTTTAATGGGTAGAGTTTCAGGTTTGCAAGTTGAAAAGGGTTCTGTGGATGGATGGTGGTGACGGTTGCACAATGTGAATGTCCTTAATGCTACTGAATGTACACTTAAAAATGGTTAAGATGGTAAGTTTTATGTTCTGTGCATTTTACCACAATTAGAAAAAAAGTTTTTTTTTTTTTTTTAAAAGCTACCTGACTGGAAAGTGTGCCAAGTAGGGCTAGTGGTGTGGCGAGGGGCGAGCTCCCATCTAGATTGCCAGAGGATGAATAGTGTAGGTGTCTTCAGTTGATCCCAC